GACTCGCTTGAGCCCAGGAGTTGGAGGTTGCTGTGAGCTGTGATGCCACAGCACTCTACCCAGGGTGACAGCTTGAGGTTCTGTCTCAAAAAAAAAAGTGGAGAGGGGTAGGAAGTGAGGTGGCTGAGGGAAAGAGGGAGGATAGTTAATCCTAGTCCCTACTGTATGCCAGGCATTTTCACATTTAAGTTCTCATTGATGCTCCTAAGCCTTCACATTTCATATCCCCTTTTTACAGATGAAAGGAAAATGTAGAAGGGTTAAATAACTTGCTCAAGGTCAAGAGGCATATTGTGGCCCTGGATGCAAATCTAGCCTCTGCCATTTATCTGGCAAGTTAATGAACTTCTCTGAATCTCAGTTTTTCATCTATAGAGTGGAGCTAATAAAAGGTACTGTCTACCTTGAAGTCTTACTGTATAGGTGAGTAAAGGGTCTTGAGACCATTCATAATGCACTTAGCAGTGACTGGCCTTAGTGAGTATTCTAGGGATAGTAAATGATACCAGTTCCTTGAAAATTAGGTGGCAGTTGGGAGATAAAACTCAGGTCTGTTTGACTTCGAGCCTATGCATGTCTATGATCCCTTACTGTCTTAGGACTGATAAAATTTTTTGCTTATCTTTTTGGAACCAGCTTTGCAAAGTTGGTTTTCTCTAATCCTGACCACCATTTTTTTGGGTGGGGGGACAGAATCTCATTCTATCACCTTGAGAGTGCCATATCATAGCTCACAGTAACTGGTGGGACTAGAGGCGCCCACCACAATGCCCAGCTAGTTTTCTTCTATTTTTAGTAGGGATGGGGTCTTGCTCTTGCTCTTGCTCAGGCTGGTCTCCAACTCCTCAACTCAGGTGATCCACCTGCCTTGGCCTCCCTGTGCTAGGATTACAGGCATGAGTCACCCCACCTGAACTTGACCACCTTCCTTTGGTTTGCTCTGGCAGTTTCTGTGTCCTCTCTACCCTGAGATTCTGACATAAGATACTCTGGGTGCTGGAGGACTTTCATTTCTGCTTAGTGGCCTAAGTAGAACCTGGGTTACAAGCTAGAAAATTCTGCCCTGAAAGAGCCATCCTGGGAGAGTGTGTGGCAGAACTGCCGGACTTTGTTATGGTTCTGAAAGGAGAGGCTAATGTGTACTACTCAAGAGAATAGGTTTGAGGGAGGCTAGGCAGACCACCTCTGTTTTGAATTTGTGTCTTCAGCTCTCTAGGCTGCAGCAAGTTGATATAAAGCAAAACAGTGGTGGCAATCATGGCAGATATCCTGGTGGTATCAAATTCAAAGTACAGTAAAACACTGCTCAACTCAGTCCTAACAAAACAGATTTACAGGCTCAATTCAGTCAGTAGGTCTCTAGCTTTCAATGCCTGAAAGTTTAGGCTGGCTGAGATTTCACCTGGAAGATGGCTTAAGTGTCATCCCACTCCCTCCCCATCAGAGCCTTACTAAGATGCTGAGTCATTGAGCTGGTACTCTGCTGCTCTCTCGAAGCAGGCTTGCACCCCACCATCCTTCCACAACTTCTTGATGACGTCCACCAGCTCAGGAGGCATGGTTCCCTCCTCAGTGGAGTCAGCCAGGTTGTTGAGCTGCCGCCCATCATCCTGTAATGCAGAAACCTGGCTGAGAACTACATGGGAGTAATAGCTTCCCAGGAAGTTTCTGGGAGTACTGCTGAACGAAAAGCAATTTACAATGCTACCAAAGTCTAAGGTGGAGGTAGTGTCCACTGAAGATTCTAAGAAAATACAGTGATTAATTTTTGAGCTCCCCATATGTACAGGGTGACAATATATCCAGCCCTGGGGTTCTTAGAGGATAACAGAAGTCCCAGGTGCTTCTCTGGGGTTTGTGGCTTCCATCCTTAGTCTGAAAGGGTACCACCATAAAACATGGTCCTCTGTTGCAGGGAGACTGGATGTTTAAAGGCCAAATTGACTATGAAAGACAAGATGAAAGACAAAAACCTGTTGCCTTTGTTGTATCAATGATTAGAGGCCAGAAAAACTGGAGATTATTAAAGTTCCATGGCCAGGAGGCCCAAAGGGAACAATTTAAATGGTAAAATAAGGCAAAAAGGCAGAGGGAGCTGAGAAAGTGGATTTTGTAAATATTTATTATTAACATAGGGGTTGTCTCCTTCTCCAGAACTGAATAAAAAGATGTGAAGCTCATCAGGTGGGGTTTTAGTTACAAAAAACTATTCTTTACCTATCTTTCCTCATGGTTGGTTGGCTTCACGTCTGTTTCTTCTCATTAGCCTTTCCTGCTTCCACCCCTAACCATATAACATTAATCACATACCGCACGGCTTGGTTCAGCATAGTCAATGCCCAGTGTGGACATAGCCCGGATGATAGCCAGGATGGACTGCAGCACATTCCCGTAGATGACAGACTTGAACTCCAGGCATTCTTCTGGTGTGTATCCATCTTGGTGAATGATTCTGCAAGGGGCAGACACCTAGTCTTTAGCTAGACCTAAGTAACCAGATCTATTGGATTGGGAACCTGGAGTATTTAAAGGGTTGTAAGTACCCCATCCCTCTGTTCCTACTACTGTCTCATGGTGGAGGGTGAGGGGCAAGGGGCATACAGATTAGGGCAGGAACCTCTAGGTCCCGTGAGGCTAAAGAGCCTGTAATTCTGAGTACCTTCACTTGCTTTCCCCTACCCCAGTCTTTTGGGGCTTTCTTTGTTCCTACTCACTTCATCTGTTTGACGATGGTGCTCTTTCCTGACTCCCCAGCACCTGAAAGGAGAAATGGTTATGCTTCTAATTTCCCCCAGCCTTCCAGGAGATGGCTATGAGAAGTCAGACTCAGTGCTTGCTCGGGAGTCTTGTTAGGGGAGAACACATAGGGATAATTGCTGCCCTCAGTGTTTAGCAACCTTGGGCTCAGGCCACTTGACCTGGATTTAGAGCAGAGTTTCTTCAGCAATATTTGCATTTTGGGTTGTCCTGTTCATTGGAAGATGTTTAGCAATATTCCTGTCCTCTATCCACTAGAGGCCAGTAATATCCCAGTCTCTTCAATAGGACAACCATAAATATCTCTAGACATTTACAAATGGCCCCTCAGGGTCAAAATCTCCCTGCTGAGGCAGGGCTTGGTGGCTAATGCCTGTAATCCCAGCGCTCTGGGAGGCTGAGGTGGGCGGATGGCTTGAGCTCAGGAGTTCGAGACCAGCCTGCGCAAGAGTGAGACCCCTATCTCTAAAAATAGCTGGGCATTGTGATGGGTACCTGTAGTTCCAGCTACTCAGGAGGCTGAGGTGAGAGACTCACTTGAGCCCAAGAGTTTGAGGTTGCTGTGAGCTATGAGGCCACGGCACTCAACAGCAGGGTGACTGAATGAGACTGTCTCAAAAAAAAAAAAAAATTCTCCCTACTGAGAACCACCAATAGATTCAGGGGAACTCCCTTACCTCATTTCTCCTCTCTGCCTATTTCTGATTCAGGAGAGTGATCTTAGGGTAGGTTTTGAAAGAGCTGGGTTGTTTCCCTGAAATACTATTTTTTCATCATTTTGCTTGTTTCCTTTATTAACAAGAATGTCCTAATGTACTCATTCACACCCCTTTTCACCTTCTCTTGGACTATACTGCCCTAATGCCTAAGCCTCCTCCTCCCACTTAGCCTGTGCTTGTTCCGTCTAAGCTGCTTATTTTGAATTAGAAGAAATCTGCTTAGGCTTAAAAGATCTCTCAGTGGCCCTGTCATCTCTGTTTTCCCCTTTGTAACCTCCTGTGCTCCTTAAGAGTCTGGGTCCAGATTACAGAGAGAGATATGCTCCTTTGGTGTGTCTTGAGGGCTGTGCCAGAGATCAGCTGGGGAAAAAGAGGTGCCTTAGCCTGGTGCATTGGTTCCCAGGCCCATCATGGGTTGGACACCCAGGCTAGGCAGTTATCCTGCTACATGACCCCTCCTGCTGCAGATAGCCTACTTTTGGGGCACCATTGTTTTTTTTTTCTAAGCCAGGTGTCCCAAATTTTCTTGACTTGGTTCTATTTATAACCAAGATCAATTTCCCTGGCTGACTTATTGGGGTGCTTTTTTTTTCTCAGCCCAGACCAGTGATCTGATTAGGAGCTCATCAAGTTGATGAAACTTCCATCTGGCAGGGGCTTTAGAGGCAGCTACTGAATAGAAGGCCAGGAAGGGACTGCTGTAGATAAAAACTCCATACTGCCTACTCTGAGCATCCTAGTTCCATGATTTTTATTGACAGCAAGAAGGAACCAGTGGGCCTATCCTTGGGACTCAACTCTGTGGTACTGTATGGTGGGACTTCAAAGTCCATTGGTGAGGGAAGCTCCTATTCTCTTTGGATTCCTTGGCTCAGAGTTCTCTGCAGATTGGGTACATGTTTGCAAGTCCAGGGTTCTTGGTATTTGCCAAGATGAAAGGAGGTGTTACATTTGGAGATGGATGGATTCATCCTGGCCATTAAACTATTCCTAGTTCAAGGGAGAGTAAAAATATTTCAGAGTTGGCTCAGGGCCTGTAGCTCGGTGGTTAGGGTGCTGGCCACATATACCAGGGCTGGCGGGTTCAAACTTGGCCTGAGCCTGCTAAAAAAACAACAATGACAACTACAACAAATACAACAAAAATAGCTGGGCATTGTAGTGGGTACTTGTAGTCCCAGCTATTTGGGAGTCTGAGGAGAATCGCTTATGCCCAAGAGTTTGAGGTTGCTGTGAGCTGTGATGTCACTGCACTCTACCAAGGGCCACATAGTGAGACTCTGTCTCAAAAATTCTTTTTTTCAGAGTAACTTTGACACCCTGGATCCCCCGGGGGGTAATTCAGGCCCCATATTAACTTAACCAGAGACTGGCTAGGGGAGAAGAAAAATGACCTGCCATCTTTCTTTCCCAATGGAGTGAGCTAGAACCAATTGACCCTCCTGGAAGCAGAAAGGAGCATTAACTTCTGGCTTATCTTCCTTATAACTCACCCAGCAACAGCAGCTTGACTGTCTTGGCTTCTTTGTCAGCATCCTCCTGCAGCTTCTTTTCTAGCTCCTTGGACCTCTTGGCCAGTTCTTTGTCCTCAGCACTGATTCCACTCCCCATTTCTTCCGTCTCTTTCTCAGCTGCTCCCTTAGGCTCTTGAGCTTCTCTTGTAAGTGTTTCTATATATGAGATGAAAGAAAAGGAAAAAATAAATTGGGATTGATTATCAGTTCCTGAGCTCCCCTAAAGCTGGTCTGTGTGGAGTGGGGTGACAGTAGTCTATCAGTTCTTCTGCCCTTCCTGCATTGGCTGAGGCTCCCTACTCCAGCTGGAGACCTACTTCTTAGTCTTGGGATTATAGCCTTTATACCTAGCAGTGCGATGGGTTAAGCCAATTAAGAGCTTTGTCAATATGACAAAGGGTAAAGATTCAAATGTTTCTGTAGCTACAAAAATGATCAGTTGGGTTTCGACATGGGTTAGGATGTGGGTACTAGAGCTCTCTGAGATAAGACAATGGTCACCTTCACCCTTTGGAGGATCTCATCCTCCAAAAGTCTCTCGGTTCTTTGGATTTACTGGTAATATAAAGCTGGAGGTTAGGGGCACAAACATTGGAAGCATTTCCCATGTTAAGCCTCTGGAACATGGGGTCTTGGTTTCAAGGACTTCAAGGCCTCAAAGCACACTTGTTTATCATCACTGGTTGGCCCTGGCAAGGAATTTTTGTTTAGGGCGTGTCCCTTACTTGCAAATAATAGGGATGTTTCATGCAGCTCCCTCAGCGGCTGCTGCTCCAGGAAGCTATTAGCATTGCTCCTTCATGCTGGCTCATCTCTGTACATAAATGTTTATTAGCCCTTACCACTTCACATTGTACTTTATTTTACAATTGTATTTCCCATTGTGAATTCCTCCTCCTGGAGCTCAAAGGGCCAAATCCGATTCTTCTTTGAATCTCTCAGAACTTGTAGTTTATTAGTGGATCATCAGTAAAGGTTTGGTGAATAAAATACATGTAGGAAAAGGGTATACGGTAGAGAGAATGGGGCAGCTTCCCCTTGACCCACCCACGCCTGCTGAGGTCCAACCTCACTCAGTAAGTGAACTTGGCTGGTATTTAATGTAGGGCGTGTGCTGCCTCACACAGCAAACTCTGCTTCTTTGGGAAATTGGATTCTAGACTCTGGCTTATCAAAGGTTGGGGCAGCTCTCCCTCTGGCCCTCATCCAAGCTGCCTTTTCCTGGGGCAAAATGGGGGTATGGTCTCACAGACAATGAAGAGTCTCCATTGGTCTATTTGTCTGTGCCAATTATTGAAATGTACTTAAACAAATCTTGCTGGTGGAGTCTCCTTGTAGGTAGAGATACTTTAGAATTCTGCTGTCCAAAATGTAATCCCAGAACCAGCAACATCAGATTACCTGGAAATTTGTTAGAAATGCAGAATCTCAGGCCTTAACCCAGACCTTCTGATTGAAAATCTTTGTGGATTTTTTTTTTTTAGGAGGCAGGGTCTGTCTCTGTTGCCCAGGCTGCAGTACAGTGGTACAATCATAGCTCACTATAGCCTTGAACTTCTGAACTCAAGTGATCCTCCTTGCTCAGACTCCCAAGTAGCTAGGACAACAGGTGCATGGCACAATGTCCAGCAAATTTTTAAAACATTTTGTAGGCCAGGTGCAGTGACTCATGCCTATAATTCTAGCACTCTGGGAGGCTGAGGTGGAAGGATCACTTGAGCTCAGAAGTTTGAGATCAGCCTGAGCAAGAGCAAGACCCCATCTCTACTAAAAATAAAAAATATTGGGCAGCGCCTGTGGCTCAAGGAGTAGGGTGCCGGCCCCATATACTGGGGGTGGCAGGTTCAAGCCCAGCCCCAGCCAAAACTGCAATAAATAAATAAAATTTAAAAAATTAGCTGGCCATCGTGATGGGCACCTGTAGTCCCAGCTTCTCAGGAGACTAAGACAGGAGGATCACTTGAACCTAGGAATTTGAAGTTGCTGTGAGGTAGACTGAGGCCAGGGTACTATAGCCTGGGCAACAGAGTGAGACTCTGTCTCAAAAAGAAAACAAAAAAACCCATTATTTATATGCCCATTTCTTAGCCTCCACTTGCAAGTGAGAATGCACAGTATTTGTTTTTTTGTTCCTGGGTTACTTCACTCAAATAATGGTCTCAAATTTTATCCAAGTTGCTGCAAAATATATTATTTCATTCTTTTTAATGGCTGAGTAGTATCCCATTACATATGCTTATACATACATACATATATAAAAACACACACATATACATATACACATATATTTTCTTTATCCAGTCTTCAGTTGTTGGGCACTTAGATTGATTCCATATACTTGCAATTGTGAATTGCATTGTGATAAACATAAGAGTGCAGGTGTCTTTTTTTTATATAGTGATTTCTTTTGAGTAGATAGTAGTGGGGTTGCTGGATTGAATGGTAGACCTACTTTTAGTTCTTTGAGAAATCTCCATATTTCTTCCATAGAACTAGAGCTGTGTATAAAGAGATGGCTAGGAACTAAAGATTATATTTTATTATATTATAACTAGTATTTGCTAGACAATTTATGTGACTCATACCAGTGAATTTTCACAACTTTGAGATAAAGTGCTATTTTTCCTCATTTACAGACCAGATAACTGACACTGGAGGATTAAGTAACTTCCTCAAGGTCGTATAGTAAAGTAAACAAACTTTCTTTCCTCTCCTCCTACCTAAGCAGCCAATGAAAGAACCTTTGGTCAAATGTATGGACTCAATAACAGTAGCGCTTGTTTTGTTAAAGGAACCACTGACTTGTTAAACAAGTGGGGAAAATGTTTTCCTTTTTCTCTTACTGCCTCTGCAAACTTCTGTGTAGCTTTTGTTTTGTTTCCTGGTTTGCTGAGTGGAAGTTCCCCATTCTTACTAACTGCGCTGAGTAAGGGAGCTTCTAGCCCTTGCCTGCCCTCTGAGAGCACAGATCCACTGCTGTGCATGCCGGGTTCCTGGTCCCAGTGACCTCATGCCTCCCGTCATCAGCTCCTGTGCCTATGGTTGCTCTGCTTTTATCACGGTCAGGGACAGTGTCCTGGTGAAGAAGATAAGGCATGTAGTGCTCTTCCCATTTTAGAATTGTGGCACAGAAGAGTGATCCTCAGGCTAACCCTATCATTTTGAGTGAAAAAGGAATCGCTGTTTCCCAGCAAATGTGGACATGTTTGCTGAGTTAGAGACCTCAGACTCTTTCTCACATCCACTAGTGAGCCTTGTCTCAGATGGAGGTCGGGGGATGTGGAAGGATAAAGAACCACCTTTAGGACTTTCCACTCCATAGGGATAGGGAGGAGAATTCGCAGAAAAACCATTAGTTAAAGGAATACTGTGCTAGTGTTGGGAATTCAGAGCTGTTTAAAACTTAGCCCCGCCATGGCGGAAAGGCAATTAAACATCTAACGGGCAGGCTGATAGTTCTATGGCAGAAAAAAATAAGGGGTGATTGTAAAATGAACAGACTTTCCGCAGAGAAGCAGAACAACAGTGGAGTGGGGTATAAGCATTTTCGGGAGAGGAAGAGCATGCATGAGACAAAGCATGGGAACACAAGGTACAAAGTGTGCTCAGAGAAGACCGGGGCGTTGGATGGGTCAGGACTGGAGAAAAAGGAAATGGAAGGGAGGGCTGGGAGATGAGGATGGGAAAGGGAAATTGGGGCCAGCCAGTGAAGGGCCTTGAATGACAAGGTTAAGAGGTTTGGCTGAAATCCACCAGGACTTATAAACAAGTACGGATGGATATAGCTGCATGGTGCTAGAAACACAATGCCGTGTAACTGAGGGGAGAAGGGGAGCTGACTGCTAGGAGAAGCTGAGAAACAAGAGCTGAACAGCTTGTTTCTAGAAGGGTCTAGGCATAAGGTACGGCTTGGGAAACTGTCTGGACATGGATCTTTTTTGGAGAGGCAGGCGTTTTCTCCCAAGTTTAATATGTGTGAAGAGTATTCTGGCCTAGGAAGGCTGACATCACAAGTGAGTTGAAGGCCAGAGGGGAAGAGAAGCAGTTCCTCAGAGAAAGAGGAGCGTGCTGCAGACCTGGGGTTCCAGGAGGGCTCCTAAGAACCCTCTGGAGAATAGACTAGGAGGGAAGGAAGCTGTGTTTGGAGCTAGGAAAGATCCTAGAAGCTCAAAGGCAACATTAAGGCCTTAATGTGAGAAAAGCCTAGGCCACAGGATGATTCATCTCTTCATTTCTCAAGCTGTGTTCTACGTAGACATTGAAACCTCACTGAGATTCTTGCTGGTGTTGAGTAGGTGGGGAGATTGATGGTTAGCTATAATCAGTACAGACTTCCTAGCAGCGATAACACATAAGATGGCCTGGAAATAGAGGACGGTTTTAAAGAGAAGGGTGAGTTGCAGATGGAAGTAGGGAGGAGCATAAAGGTACTAATGAACTGGTTTGCCTGAGTTGAGTAGATGGCTGGGATCCATGTATTGGCTGGTTATGTAGGTAGGTTTGGATTAAGAAGCCCAGCCCAGCCTGAAATATTGACCCTTAAAACTATGTCAAAATTTGTAACTTAAAAAAAAATTTGTATCTTATCACAATATAAATGACATTCTACATGGTGCTTGATTTTTAATTTTGAGAATGTATTTTTACTATTCTTTATTGAGAGACCAACAGGCTCAAAATTCCTAAGGACCCTAAAACCAGTTTAGGGACCATATTAAGAATAGTTTACATTTGAGTCTGGGCTTAAGATAGGGGGTGGGGACTGTGGAGGCAATGACAGATTTTTATAGGCTTTTGTTGATTTCTATTCCCTAATTATAAAAGTAATATATACCGTAGATAATTTTTAAAATGCAGATAAATAAGAATAAATATAACCTGTAATTCTATCACTTACAGATAATGATTTGTACACTTTTGGGTGTGTTTCTTTTCTATGCATATATATCATATAATTAGAACCATACTGTATGTATAGTTTTTTACATTTAGCCTTTCACTTAACTTTATATTGTAATAATTTCCATATAATTAAAAAATTCTCCAAGAACAATCTTTAATGGCTATATTTCATTGTGTGCATATGACATAATTTAAACAATCTATTGTTGGACCTTTATGTTTCTAATCTTTCTATGAGATAAACATTGCAGTGATGAACAGTTTTGTGTGCACATAATTTTCTGGCAGCTTTTTTTTTTTTTTTTTTTGAGACAGAGCCTCAAGCTGTCCCCCTGGGCAGAGTGCCGTGGCATTACAGCTCACAGAAACCTCCAACTCCTGGGCTCAAGCGAGTCTCCTGCCTCCGCCTCCCAAGTAGCTGGGACCACAGGCGCCCGCCACAACGCCCGGCTATTTTTTGGTTGCAGCCGTCATTGTTGTTTGGCGGGTCCGGGCTGGGGGTTCGAACCCGCCACCTTAGGTGTACGTGGCTGGCGCCTTAGCCGGTTGAGCTATAGGCGCCGAGCCTGGCAGCTTTTCTTAAGAACAATTTCCTGAAAGTTGATTACTGTGTTAAACAATAAGAACCCTTTTGAAACTTTTATTATACATTGCCAAATGGCTTTCAGAAAGATTATGTCAATGTTTGTGGGCACCAATAATCTGTGTGTGTGTGTGTAGGTGAAGTCTCGGAGACTTCACTGAATATTAATTATATATATTAGCAGCAATTAATCTCCTTCTTATTCTCCCTGTTGTGGGAGCCCTTTGGCCCCCACACCCAGTTGTTCTATTTTGTCACACCCATCTAACTACATCCTTGCCTGAATTAGGATATTTTTCTTTGTCTTTGCTATTTTGATAGGTAAACATGGTATCTCTTTGTTCTCTATTTAGTTTTGTTAGATTCTTTGTGAGTGATCACTCTCCCCTCACACCTCCAACAATGTTTATTCCAACAATGTTTATAGAGGCCAGGTCTTTTTAAGTTTGTTCAGGGTCAGGAACAGGGTCAGGTCAGGGGATCGATGGATGTGACACCACATGCAGATGAAGAATAGGGTTCAGGGTCCAGAATCCAGCACAGTGAGAGAAGAGAGAGGCAGAGTTTGGGAAAGAACTCTGCTCTGGGGGTTGTGAGAATTGGGAGGAACTGGACAAACAGCATTAGAACAACTGGGTGTGGGGGCCAAAGGGCTCCCACAACAGGGAGAATAAGGAAGAGATTAATTGCTGATAGTATACATGATTAATATTCAGTGAAAGGGCAGTGCAGGTGGCTCAGTGGGTAGGACACCAGCCCCATATACCAAGAGTGGCAGGTTCGATCCCTCCCCAAACTGCAACAACAACAAAAAGCTGGGCATTGTGGCCCGGCGCCTGTAGTCCCAGCTACTCCAGAGGCTGAGGCAAGAGAATCACCTAAGCCCAAGAACTGGAGGTTGCTGTGAGCTATAGAGCTGCACTCTACCCAGGGCAACAAAGTGAGACTCTCTTAAAAAAAAAAAAAAAATTCAGCGAAGTCTCTGGGACTTTGCTCTACAAGTTCTCTTTAGGTTGGATTCTCTATCCCTTGGGAGTGGTATGCTGGTTTGCAGTCCCCAAAACAGCTTGACTCCTTTTCTTTATAGGCTGCAAGGTGAATCAACCTGTGACTGTCAATAGGTAACCAAGGCCCAGGCCAAAGTAGTAATACAGGAACCTTGGGTGGTAACTACAGGGCAGACACAGTTGTAAGCACTTAACTTATATAAGCTCATTTATCTTAACAACCACCGTATAAAGCAGGTACTCGGACACTCATTTTACAGAGGAAATAGAAGCACAGAGAAGTAACTTGCCCAAAATACCAGTTAGGAATTAGGTAGTGGACTCTGATTTGAACGTAGACAATCTGGCTACTGAGTTTAAGCTTAACCACCAAATATAGAAATAAATGTGGGAAAAAGAGCCAGAATTGCTAGCCATAAAAAAAACAAATGACCTAGGTGACAATGTAGGGGCAGGACTTTTGCCTAAAATGAATCCTGAGACAATAATAACAGCTACCTTTTATTGGAGCCTTTGTGTCAGGAACTTTTTACGTTTAATCTTCACATTAAATCCTTTGAATGAGGTACTGTCATTACCCCATCCCATCTTACTGATGAGGAAGCTGACGCACAGAACTTGCCCAAGACCCAGGGTCGAGCCAGGCAGACAGTGGTGGGGAGAGTGCCCACGTGGCGCCCGGGAAGAGAAAAAATGGCGGGGCGGGGCTGGCCAGGCGGGGGCGGGCCCCGAGCGGGGGCGGGGCCAAGGACTGGAGAGGCCCGGGCTGCATCCTCGCTCGGCGTCCGCGAGGTTTGGTGGGGTCGCACCTGTTGAGTGACGCCCCCGTAATCCACCTGCTGAACTCCCACCCTGAATACCCAGGAGTGTTGAGAGAAGCCCAGACGAGTTCCGGATCCCGCTCCCTGGGGAGCACGTGGCTTGCCCGCCTCTCGAGTGCAGGGCTGGGGGTCGGGACGCCGAGATCTCCTGAGGCCAGGCTGGCTGCGGAGGTCTGCGGGGGTCTGCCTCTAGCCAGCTGGCAATTTTGAAAGATTGCCGTACTTCCCCATCTCAGTGCCAGGGCAAGGGCCGTTGAAGCGACTTGGCCAGGGGTCTGTGCCCCAGTCCCCCTTCCGGCTTCCTCGCTCTGCAGACCCTCTTGGGAGGTGTCCTCGGTGCCCCTTGAGATTTGGGCATCATGGCCTCAGGTGAGTGAGTGTGTGTTCGCGTGGTCTGTGGGACAGAGAAATGCTGTGTGGCCAGGGTGACAAGACAGTGGGGGTCCCTGCACAGCCTGCAGGTCCTAAGGAAGGTGGCCCCCTCCTCCTGGAAGGGCTTGGGGAAATAGAGCCTGAGTGCGCAAAGACAGAGAGAAAAGTCTAGAGTCTCTTTCCCAAGAACCCCGGCCAAGCCCCTGCCTTCCTAGCAGGTAGCTTCTGCTGGAAGGTGGAATTTTCCCAAGACAGGCCCCTCCCTCTGGGCTGGGAGTCTTAGTTCTACCCCCTCCTACCAGAGCTAGGCCACCCCTGGGGTCAGATGGAAAAGAAAAGAAGGGGGCTCTTCCCTAGAGGCGCTGTGTTTTCACCGAGCAGCCCTTCTCTGAGAGGAATGCGTTCTGAGCTTAGAGGCACTCATTGCTGGATTCATGTTTACTCTTACTTCTTTTTCTCCCAGGCTAGCTTATACAGCTAGCCTGGACTTTGACTCCCTTACCCTGGAGCGTTGGCAATGGAGAAAGGGTTCCTAAGAGGGTTAGTGGAGAGCTGGGGCTGGCTCTTCCCCATCTTGTTCTCCCTTCTCCCTCCCCCCATCCCCTTCCCGGGCTCAGCTACCATCAGTCCCCGTCACTCCAGGGACTGAGGAGAAAGGGGAGGCATAAGGGGCGGGGATGAGGCCCCACTCCCCCAGGTTGCCTAGACAACAGGAGAAATCGTGGCCAGGGCCTCTTCCGCCTGTGGGGCGCTGCTTCCTGCATCAGTCACTCCCGCTGGGGGCGGGGCAGAGGAAGGGGTTGGATGTGGCAGAGCCAGGCCCCAGCCAGTGCGCTCAGACACCCACGCTGACACTCAGCTGTGGCCTCAGCCATGGCATCCTATCCATCTGGCTCCGGCAAGTCCAAGGCCAAATATCCCTTTAAGAAGCGGGCCAGCCTGCAGGCCTCCACTGCAGTTCCAGGTGAGTGTGCTCGCCGGCCTCAGGCACAGGCTCCCACCAACCATCCCCTGGACACTGGTCCTCCAGAGAGGGGGGCGCCTCTTCTCTGGCATCCTATCTGTGGTGGTGCTCCTCCACCTCAGTCACAGGGGGGCTGGCTTGGAGGTGGGTTTGGGGGAAGGGGGGGTAGTGTGACTGAGGTTTCTATGGCAGGGATGCTGTCCTCTGTAATAAGGAGTGGGTGTGGGTGTTGAGTGCAGCAAGAGATGTGTATGCACACGTGTCAGCGTGTGCATGTGCTAAGACTGCGTATACAGTGTGTGTGAATGGAGTGTGGGGGGGTGTGGGATTGACTGCTTTGTGGACTGGCCACTCAGACTGGCGCCTGTGCCTTTAGCAGGCAGACTAAGGCTGTTCTCTTGCAACTAGTTCCTCTTTCCAGGACCCCAGATCTACATGCCTCTCACTGGTGGTCTGACATCTGGGCACACCCATGGCTGGCCAGCATCCCAGAGCTAGGGGCTCGACTGCCTTGTTTGCTGCTGGTTTGGTCCCAGTCTGTGTTGTGAGCCTCCTTGGTAGTATGTGGTGTCCTTGGATCAGGACCATGCAGGGAATCACGCTGGGCTATTGCGTGCTGCTGCACCCTTTGGTTCGGCTCCCACTCTGCTAGGCACTGCTGCACCATTTGGAGCAGGCCATCCAGTACTGCAGTGCCTGTCTTGTTGAGGGCTCGGCTGCTTTAGCTGCCCGGGGCTGGGCTTGCAGAGGGATGTCTGCCTGCTGTCTACTGTCCCCAGGCCTTGTGGCTAAGGAAAGGCACACCTCCACTTTGGTGACCAGGTCATACTAACATAATCCCCCACCTCTCCCACAGCTGTTGGTACCTACAGTCTGATCATCTACCTCCTGTATTTTCTTATGCCATCGAATATGCCTGGTACAAGGTCTGTACTGTCCTGAGGGTGTTCTCTGTGTCCAGAAAGTGTGTCTCTTGGGGTTAGATCTGTACAGTGACCCTGTTACTGAACCGGAGACCTTTGGGTGGTCAGATGTAAGAGTATGTGATACCTGTGGGTCACAGCTTTGGATACTCCCTGCCAGTGGAGGCAGTCCTGGCAATGAGGGGGCTATGGGCCAAGAGGAGAGTTGGGGTGGTCAGAATCTTGGAGTCAGTGGAGTTGGCTTTTGGCTGACTCTCCCTATGTGGGTCTATGTGTGTGTTGGTGTTGTAGCTGGGAACCTCCAGCACACACCCCAGGAGAAGGGACCAGCAGGCTGAGTCTTCTAGACTTGGCCTCAGAGAGTGTGGAGATTACTGCCTATGTGTCACCTCCCGTGAACCCTCTGCAGTCTTGTGCAGTGGCCTGTCAGGCTAGGGGATGGCTCTGGGTGCTGGAATCTGCCCTACTCACCCAGCATTGCTGTGCATGGAGGTCCCAGGCCACCCTGTTGGGGCGGTGGTGGCGGTTGCAGTTTGGGCCTTTGGCTCAGCTCCTGCTGACCCTACACAAAACAGCCATGGAGGCCTGTGGTCTGGGGCCATTATGTGGAGAGGAAGTGTATAGGATCGGGGTGCTTAACCAGGGTGTCTGAGAGAAAGGCAGGCACTCCTCTTTTCTTCCTCTCCCTCCTCTGTTTCCAAGGAGGAGATAGCATCATTCTTATCTCCATCCCAGTGAAGTCCTTATCACTGCCTCTCCCTGCTCAGGTGCCTTGGGCCTGTGGTAGGCTAAGAACTACCCTCCTCTAGGAGTGGGGCTACATGTGGGAAGTGCTTTGTAGGTCCTAAGAGTCCATAACTGTAGACCAGGCGTCCTCAAAGTACAGCCCGTGGGCCACATACGGCCTGCTGAGGACATTTATCTGGCCCGCTGGGTGTTTTTGCCGCCACTGCCTGTCCTGCTTAGCAGCCAACTCGTCCTGGGGCCTGCAGTCCAGCCCTCCAATGGTCTGAGGGACAGTGAACTGGCCCCCTGTTTAAAAAATCTGAGGACCCCTGCTGTAGACCCTCAGCACAGCACCTGGTGTTTCACAGATCACTTGCAAGGCAGTTATCTCTGTGAGCCTTGTGGCAACTGTGAGGAAGCAGGGCAGAAACCCGTGTGTAGACAGGACTTAGCCTCTCAGAGGTAGGTAGGGACTTGGCAGTAAATGGGAAGAGTCAGACTCATGTCCTCAAAATTCTAGTTCCCCCTTTCCCAAACCTCTCCTCCTGGACCATCTGTCCTGTCCCTGACCATAGGCTTGGAACAGGGGTTGGAGACTGTGAACCAGCCCCCTGAACAGCTGGGCAGCTGAGAAGCTTCAGTGACTGGACCCTACTCAGAGTGGGCTCCTTCCCCAGTTAATAGTCAGTTCCTGTCCCAAACAAGGCCTTGTCTCTTCTGAGGGACCCACAAGCAGCACCCAGAGGACAGTGGTGAGCAACAAGGCCTCTGGGCAGAGGGGTGCTGTGCTCCCTTCCTTTTCTCTCCTCTTACCCTTTGGCTGGCCAAGCCCTGCCCACTTGCCTTGCCTGCTTGGTGTTCCCTAGGGATTTTAAGGAGGCTTGGCCCCTCCCTGCCTGTCTGCCAGCTCTGCCCCAATCAGCCTACCCTATTTCTCCCCCTTGGGATCTCTGTGTTTGGCTGGGACCTCTCTGGCACTGTGGAGGTTAAGGCCCTGTCAGTTCTAGAGTTCATCTTACCTCCTAACTCTGATGCTCCTTGCCTTGATTTCTGGCCTCCCTTGAACTCCTCCAGCCCCCTGCTCATGGCCATCCCAGGGTCTCCCCTGCTCACAGCTGCATTTGGTACAGCCCGTGCCGGCCCCTGAGGGACTGGCTGCTGCTTCACTCGGCAAACAGGCGGGCAAGGGGCACAGGGCTGCTGGCCGAAGCTGCCTGAACTCTAAGGTAGGGTCCAGGCAGGGGACCAGGCTGAGCGGGGGGGCTGGGTCCAAGATCTGGGACAGGCACTTTCCTCCTTCCTTTGTCCAGCCTTGGGACCAGAACTAGAGTATTGAGAAACAGGCACAGAGACTTTAAAATGGGCTACCCAGGCAGAGCATTCAACCTTTTCCTAAGCCAGGGTGGAGAGGGGAAAGGAAGGTGCTGGAGGGGAGCACCCCGACAGCTGGCTGGGTGAGCTGAGCTTCTCACTGGGGAGGCTGCAGTGCTGAGCCCAGGAAGGGTCCTCTGAGGTAGGCCAGGGTTCAGGCAGCCCTGATAGACTACCAGTTTCAAGGTCTTTCGTGCCAGCCTCCTGGTGGTACAGATGGGGAGTTCTGTCCTTGGTGGAGAAGGACCCCTGGCTTCTGATACTCCCTTCCCCAGGGCCTCTGGCCCAGATCCTGGGGCCTCTGAGTGGCGCAGACTGTTCGTGGCAGCTCCCTTTGGAGGGGCAGCCAGCAGTGGGAGGGGCAGGCCGGGGCCAGGCCACATCTTGGCAGTCCTGGGGTCCTGGGGGAGAGGCAGGCCTCCAGGGAGGAGGTAGGGATCCCCTGCCATCCGGGGCCTCCTTGTCCTCTCCTCCTCTTCCCTTGAGGGCTGGTCCCCAGGTAAGAGCTGAGGGGCAGCTGTGCTTGCTCTGTGCTCTGTAGGCCTGGGATGCTGGGCACGGTGCCTTGCCCCTCTGCCTGGAAGATCTGCCAGTCCAGGACAGGTTTGATACTGGATTGCCTGCCCTAGGAGCTGCAGGCTGGGGTCCTTGGTATGGCCAGTTGGTATTTAAGGAGCATCTGGTGTGTGTCTGTGTGTTTCTGTGAGTGTGCACCTGTTTGTACAGGTATGTATACTGTGTGCGCATGGACACCCGTGTGCAGCCTCTGGGAGGAGGTCACTTGAAGATGGCCTGAGGGACCAGCCCTAGTCCAGGATTCAGGTTCTTGTTGGTTGAGTGAATGAACCCACTCATTCTAGTGGCAGACTCGGGATCCCTACCTGCAAGCTGGAAGGGGTGAAGGGTCCCTGTGCTGGAGGTGAGGGTAAAGTTCTTTGGGAGTCTCACACACAGGCTTACTCTTCCACCTCTGAGGAGGCACTGCCCACTTTCCAGGCCCCGGGCTCTTTCAGGAGCTGGTCTGGGGCAGGTAGGGGCCCCGGGCTTCCAAGGGCTGTCCCTCCACTCTTTGACGTGGCATCACTGTCTCTGCAGAGGCTCGGGGTGGTCTGGGGGCCCCTCCGCTGCAGTCTGCCCGATCCCTGCCGGGCCCCGCCCCCTGCCTCAAGCACTTCCCGCTCGACCTGCGCACGTCTATGGATGGCAAATGCAAGGAGATCGCCGAGGTATCGCCTGGCACCACCCACGCCCCTCACCCCATGTCCCCATGCCCTGCCTCTGCTCCCCATGCTCTTCCACCCCAGCTGTCCCCTCACCTCATGCTTGGCCGTCTCCTGATCCTCAGCCTCTCCCAGGTATCCCACAGTCCTGCTGCCCTCGCCCCATCCCCAGACTCTGCAGGAGAGGGCCCCGGGGCTGAAGGCGAGGCCACACTGACCCTTCCTTCCCCACCTCCAGGAGTTGTTCAGCCGCTCACTGGCTGAGAGTGAGCTCCGTAGTGCCCCGTATGAGTTCCCTGAGGAGAGCCCCATTGAGCAGCTGGAAGAGCGGCGGCAGCGGCTAGAGCGACAGATCAGCCAGGATGTCAAGTAAGCTGGGCCCCAGAGCCTGTTGGGCAGCTGAGGGCACACAATGTGGTCTGCTCAATATCCTTCTGTCTCCATCTGGACCCTGTCCTCCCTGTGAGGTCCACACAGGGAGGCAGCATAGAGCATGGGTTTTGGAGACAGGTTTCTGGATTCTGGTTCTGTGTCCAGTGATGTGGCCTAGACCATGTTGCTTAATTTCTGGGTCTGGGTTCTCATCTCTAAAGTGGGGTAAGAACAGCACAAGTTCTGCAGCCCTGCCCGTGAAATCGTATGTGTACCTAACATGGCACGGGGACCTGGGAGCAAAGGCCATCTCATGATCTGCCTGACCTTTCACTCCTCTAGGCTGGAGCCAGACATCCTGCTTAGAGCCAAGCAAGATTTCCTGAAGACGGACAGTGACTCAGACCTCCAGTGAGGAGGGCAGAGGGGTGCAGGGGATGTGGAGCTGGGGCCTGTCAGCTGCTAGTTCCAACCCCTTCCCCGTACCCATCCTGTGCAGGCTCTACAAGGAACAGGGCGAGGGGCAGGGTGACAGGGGCCTGCGGGAGCGCGATGTGGTGCTGGAACGGGAGTTTCAGCGGGTCACCATCTCTGGGGAGGAGAAGTGTGGGGTGAGTTTGTGCAGGGCCTGGGTCTCTGATATGAGGTGTCCCAGCCAGGGAACTGAGTGAGGGGTTGCTGGAGAGGGTATTTCTCTTTTCCCAGGGGCTGGGGTTCAGAGGGCCTACTTGGTGGGCTAGGACCAGAGTGGTCTGAGAGCACCTGGGGTCAGGGCCTATGGGAGGTGGGGGATAGTCTGGGGTCTGGGGTCAGGCTTCAGGAAGGAGGTGGGAGTGACCTGAGCCTAAGTCAGAGACTGAGGAGGATGATCGCATGTCCTGGTCTCCAGGTGCCATTCACAGACCTGCTGGATGCAGCCAAGAGTGTGGTGCGGGCACTCTTCATCCGGGAGAAGTACATGGCCTTGTCGCTGCAGAGCTTCTGCCCCACAACCCGCCGCTATCTGCAGCAACTGGCCGAGAAGCCTCTGGAGACACGGACCTATGAGCAAGGCCCCGACACCCCCGTATCTGCTGGTGGGATCCCCATCCCTGCCTCACCCCAAATGCCCTGGGCTCCCTGAGATGGGGTCCAGGGCATCTCTACCCTGCCTGTGTCTCCCCACACATAGCCCCTTGGTGCCCAGGGGTGGAGGTCAAGTCAGGAGCTGCCTGCCTTGCTGGGGTCTTTACTATCTCTCATTTTTGTGAGGCCCCCATCTGGAAGAGTTCTGGGCCTGACTCTGCCCTCCCTACCCTCACAGATGCTCCGGTACACCCCCCTGCGCTGGAGCAGCACCCGTATGAGCGCTGTGAGCCAAGCACCATGCCGGGGGACCTGGGCTTGGGGCTGCGCATGGTGCAGGGTGTGGTGCATGTCTACACCCGCAGGGAGCCTGATGAGCAGTAAGAGGGGTGTGGGGTATGCTGGGGGTCACTGTGTGGGAGGTTGCAGTTTCTCAAGAGAGACCACAGGGCCTGGTGTGTCATCCTTACCCAAGCTCCCCTTCATGCCAGTTGCTCAGAGGTGGAGCTGCCCTACCCGGATCTGCAGGAATTTGTGGCTGATGTCAATGTGCTGATGGCCCTGATTATCAATGGCCCCATGTGAGTGCCCTCTTGTCCCACTCAGCTCACTTCCCAGCCCAGATTCTCTAGCCCTAGCTCTGCCCCAGACACTTGTCCCTCTCTAGTCACCAAGCCCTAGACTGTCCCTTAGTCCGCTGCCCTCTTGGCAGCCTTCCTCCCCCACCCTCCCTCTACCTCCCTCCACTCTGCTGCCCAGGCCCTCCCCAGGTACTCCCTTCAGGGCCTGAGTCCCCCTGCCTTGTTCTCCTTGTACCCAGAAAGTCATTCTGCTACCGGCGGCTGCAGTACCTGAGCTCCAAGTTCCAGATGCACGTGCTGCTCAATGAGATGAAGGAGCTGGCTGCCCAGAAGAAAGTGCCACACCGAGACTTCTACAATATCCGAAAGGTGGGCCCTCACTCCCTACCCTGTAGCCTTCTCTGTGTCCTGATCCTGCACCTCTGTCCAGCATCCCAGACAAGGGTCTGGGCCCCCACACCCAGCATCCAGAATGGAGTGTCTTTTTTTTGAGACAGAGTCTCACTTTGTTGCCCTGCTGTGGTGTCACAGCTCACAGCAATCTCAAACTCTTGGGCTTAAGTGATTCTCTCGCCCTCAGCCTCCCAAGTAGCTGGGACTATAGGCACCCTCCACAACACCGGCTATTTATAGAGATGGGGTTCTCACTTTGGCTCAGGCTGGTCTCAAACTCATGAGCTAAGGCAGTCCACCCACCTGGGCCTCCCATAGTGCTAGGATTACAGGTGTGAGCCACTGCCCTTGGCCTTCAGAACAAAGTGTCTTCTCCCATCCCACTGCCTTGGGCCCTAGACCTTCCTAGCCTGTGGTGGACCAGCAGTGCCCTGTTGCACCCCAGGTGGACACCCACATCCATGCCTCATCCTGCATGAACCAGAAGCATCTGCTGCGCTTCATCAAGCGGGCAATGAAGCGGCACCTGGATGAAATCGTGCACGTGGAGCAGGGCCGAGAGCAGACACTGAGGGAGGTCTTCGAGAGCATGAACCTCACAGCCTACGACCTGAGTGTGGATACACTTGATGTGCATGCGGTCTGTCTCAGTGGCATGGGCTGAGGGACTGGGTCAGTGTAGCAGCCAAGGGTCAGAGTGACATGGGCCTGTCTGTCTCCCCTAGGACAGGAATACCTTCCATCGCTTTGACAAGTTCAATGCCAAATACAACCCTATTGGAGAGTCTGTCCTCCGAGAGATCTTCATCAAGACTGACAATAGGGTCTCTGGAAAGTACTTTGCTCACATCATTAAGGTAAGGAGGCAGCCCCTCACTACTGAGCCATGGGATCTGGGTATCTGGGGGGCTCGGAGGGGTCATGTGAGGTGAGAGCCCTGAAGAGGTCTGACTGGAGTACACATGGGTATAAACACAGCCATCCCCCCGCCTTCCCCCATATGTCTAGGAGGTGATGTCAGACCTGGAGGAAAGCAAATACCAGAACGCAGAGCTGCGGCTCTCCATCTACGGGCGCTCAAGGGATGAGTGGGACAAGCTGGCACGCTGGGCCGTCATGCACCGTGTGCACTCTCCCAATGTGCGCTGGCTTGTGCAGGTGCCCCGCCTCTTGTGAGTGTCCCTTGGAGTGGGAGGGAACACCTGGGCCAGAGCCTGCTTCCTCCTCTCCTGGGATGGCTGAGCCTCCCCTGGCCCCACTGAGCCCTCTGAGTGCAAGGAAAGTTTTCCTGGTCCCACCCATTGTCAATTAGCCCAGCCTAGCCTGGTGTCCCCACTTTCCCAGTGTGGGTGAAGGATCCTTTTGTGCTTTTGGGCCAAACTCTGTCCCTTACTGGCCTGCTGGATTTTCTCTTGCTGGCCCTGACCTGCACATGCCTGCATGCTGTGTCTTGCCTGCAGTGATGTGTACCGTACCAAGGGCCAGCTGGCCAACTTCCAGGAGATGCTGGAGAACATCTTCATGCCTCTGTTTGAGGCCACTGTGCACCCTGCCAGCCACCCGGAGCTGCACCTCTTCTTGGAGCATGTGAGCAGGCGGCACAGGGCTGGGGATGGGGAGGACAGCCAGCCTCTGCCTCAGCTGGAATTCTAGGCCTGACCACAGGGTTCTGTGCCAGGTGGACGGTTTTGACAGTGTAGATGATGAGTCGAAGCCTGAGAACCATGTCTTCAACCTGGAGAGCCCCCTTCCTGAGGCCTGGGTGGAGGAGGACAACCCACCCTACGCCTACTACCTGTACTACACCTTTGCCAACATGGCCATGTTGAACCACCTGCGCAGGTGCCCGTACCACCCAGGCTGGGCCCCTGTGCACTGTGTGGGCTTGCCCCCTCATCCGACAAACCTGGCTTTGGGTGCCCTGGGCTGGGGCCACCAGATCCCTGACCTACCTGTTGCCCTGTGCTTGCACTGGATGGGTTTTCTCTGCCCTCAGGGTTCCATCCCTCACCCCTCACAGCCAAGAACCTACCGGTTCCCCTTATCCCAGAGGGCATGCATGCTAGGGTGGGGTTCAGAAGCTCCAGTGAGCCCAGGCCAGCCCAGGCTCAGCAGTGACCCTGTCTTCATGCCCCCAGGCAGAGGGGCTTCCACACGTTTGTACTGAGGCCACACTGCGGGGAGGCTGGGCCCATCCACCACCTGGTGTCAGCTTTCATGCTGGCTGAGAACATCTCCCACGGGCTGCTTCTGCGCAAGGTCAGGGTCTGCACCTCCAGATTCCCCTCCCAGTTGTTCACCTTCCTCCGAACCATTCAGGCCCTTCCGTGACTGACCCTCTCCCCGTCCAGCCCCCAAATTGGACTCCAACTTCCCAGTGTAACCTCCCCACTGCAGCCTCCTCCAGACCGGGACCTCAACTTGGATTATGGTTGCAACTCACCCTTCACACATCAGGCCCAGCTTGGATTCCCTTCCCCCTGCCCACTGCTGTGGTCTGGACCTCCAGGACCAGCATGCCTTCCTGGCCTTCAGGTCACCTGACAAGCTCTTCCTGTCGCCTGCACAGGCCCCAGTCTTGCAGTACCTGTATTACCTGGCCCAGATTGGCATTGCCATGTCCCCACTCAGCAACAACAGCCTCTTCCTCAGCTACCACCGGAACCCGCTCCCAGAGTACCTGTCCCGTGGCCTCATGGTCTCGCTTTCCACTGATGATCCCCTGCAGTTCCACTTCACCAAGGTCAGCCAGGCAGACAGCCAGGCGGGTGTCCTGGGACACTGAGGTCTCTCCAGGCTGGTGCTGCCCCCTGCTGGTGGAGCGCAGCAAGTGGGGGAGGGAGGCCAAGAGGGGCTGCAGGGCCAGGGACTGCCTGCCTGAGGGACCCTGACCTGTGCAGGAGCCGCTGATGGAGGAGTACAGCATCGCCACCCAGGTGTGGAAGCTTAGTTCCTGCGATATGTGTGAGCTGGCCCGCAACAGTGTGCTCATGAGCGGCTTCTCCCACAAGGTACTACACCTGCCTTCCTGGCTGGACCCAGGGGTCTTGTGTCTTTGCCCCTCCTCTGCATTTGAGGTCTTGGTCCTGTCCCTGGGATATTTTGGGTGGAGGCATTGTGGCCCCCTCAGAGCTGGCTGTTACTCTTCCTGTTACCCTCACTTTCTGCAGGTAAAGAGCCACTGGTTGGGACCCAACTATACCAAGGAGGGCCCTGAGGGAAATGACATCCGCCGCACCAACGTGCCAGACATTCGTGTGGGCTATCGCCATGAAACCCTGTGCCAGGAGCTGGCGCTGATCACACAGGCCATCCAGAGCGAGACACTGGAGACCATCCCAGAGGAGGCGGGTGTTGCCACAAGCCCAGGGCCTCAGTGAGCCTGGCCCTCACAGTGCCCGCATCTCAGCACCTTGGCCACATTGTGTTCTCAGCCCCCTGCCATCCTGCCGTATTCTCTGCATGTCTCCATTCTTCTTTGTCTCTGTCTTGCATGTCTCTGACCATGTCCTCGTCCCTGGGCCACCCCAATGAAAGCAATGCCCAGGAATCTACTACACTGGGTTGTTTTGGCTCTGGTGGCACCTGATGGCCAAGGTTTTGAGGTCTAGCCCTGCTGGCGACCCTATCCTAGGAGCCTCAGAAGCCTGGCAGTCCTGTGGCCTTCTCCATTGTCTAAAGCCTGAGGATAGTTGTGGGGGACTGACCCTCTAGTCTTTGGGCTCCTGCCTGAGCAAATCTGAGCTTTGTCTGAGCTGAAGGTTAGGTCCCTGTCTTCTTTATGTGCCTGAGGAGCAGTCAGGTGGGGCCTGTACAGCTCTGCCTTGGGCGTGGGGCTATTGAAGGTCTGTGGAGCTCCAGCAGCTCTGCTCTTGGTTGGGTTGGCCCTGGGCTGCCTGGCCTGAGGGGTGGACCACCATCACCACCACATCACTGCCCAACAGTAGCCTTCTCCGTCCTTTCCCCTGCCCACATGCTCCTCTGGTGTCAGTTTCCTGTGCCTCTGGGAGGACAGATGCTGTATGCTGTGTCTGGGGCCACTGGAGCCACAGGGTCCTGGATCTGCCTCTAGCCCTGGGAGTAGCATCCCCACCATGGCCCCCAGATCTGGATCTTGGCTGGGCCCCTGTGTTGTGTTCTGGACTGAGACCATTGCTATAAAATGCAGTGTTTCATACGGTCCATCTTTCCTAGTGCATGAGAAATAAAGATTATTTAAGTAATGAGGCAGGTGGGATCTATGTTGGGAGAAGGGAGTACCATGCTGGGGGTGGATGGAGGTACAACGCATTCTGAGGGGAGCCACTGGGTTTGGGTGGTGTATGTTTGTGTGCATGGAAAGTGGCCAAGGAAGCTGCAGGAGAGAGGAAGTGTCCACTGGGCTCTCATCCAGCCTGTTCCTCTGAGAGGGACACCCAGCCCCAGGTCTGCGTCACATCCCTGTCACAGCAAGTTAGAGAATGGCATCCCTTTCCTGCCTTGTACTTCCTCCCCACTTCTGGCTTCTTAGGAGATGGTCTGGCAGATAAGAGAGTATGTACTTACAGCAAATCTGAGGCTAAGGCTTTGCAAATCTGTACCTCTAAATACCCTTTCTAGGTCCATCCAGTTCAGTAGGTGGAAGGAGCCGCACAGACTCTTGGGCAGAGTCTGCTGCAAGGGGTTGAAATGAGCCTGTGCCTTGGGAATCCAGGCTCAGCCAGCTCAGTTTCTGCCCCCTGTTAATACACAATCCGAGAGCACTTCCTTGGCATGGTGGTTGCTGGAGTCTGTTGCCCAAGTAAAGAAGGAAAAGTGGCTTTGTGCCCTGGCTTATGCAAGGTCCTGGGTGGGTGGTGGCAGATAATTAGCTCTAGCACAGTGTGAGCCTGTGTCATGGAGGGCCTGGGCAGAGTGAGAGTAGGGGAGGGCTGGTAGCTTCCTCCTGGTGTGTTAGCTGCTCTGCCCCAGCCTCTCCTTGGGAGAGTGCACCAGTGCTGGCCCTGGGCTTCTTCAGCCAGTGCCTGGCTGCCCTGGGCAAAAGCTCTCATCCGCCAGCCTGAGGAGGGTGCCGGCCAGGCCTCCTGGTCAAGACCCAGAGCCTCTGAGTTCCAGAAAACATCTCTTGCCAACTTTATTCTCACCATTTACATATCACAAAATTGGACGTTAGGACTGGACAAGGGGCAAGATGTACAACTCTGGCTGATTTCTGGCTGGGAAACAGGTTCAGGTGAAAGTGACCAGTGGCAGAGCCTGGACTGGAACTTAGCATCCAGGGCTCTTGCATCTCATCCGTCCAAGAAACGATGCTAGGTGAGGGGAATTAACTCTCAAGTAGATGAATTTATTTATTTATTTATTTATATTATTATTATTTTCTATTAAATCATAACTTTGTACATTGATGCATTTATGGGGTTCAGGGTACTGCTTCGATATACAATGTGAAATGCTTACATTGAACTAAGGAACACATCCATCACAATTATAATCATTTCCTAATAGTTTATTGAAATGTACCATTGCATTATGAACATTAGGTGAGGTCCCCCCAAGTACACCCTTTCCTCTCATGTCCCCTCTCCCCTTCCCTCTCTCTCCTCTTCCCTTCTACTTCCTGGACTATAGTTATGTTTTGCCATTCATATGAGTGTGTAGGTGGTTATATATTGATTTCATAGTAGTACTGAGTACATTGGATTTGTTTTTTCCCATTCTTGAGATACTTTACTAAGAAGAATATGTTCCAGCTCCATCCAGGTAAACATAAAAGATGTGAAGTCTCCATCTTTTTTATGGCTGCATAGTATTCCATGATGTACATACATCACAATTTGTTAATCCATTCATGGGTTGATGAGCACTTGGGCTGTTTCCATGTCTTGGCTATTATGAACTGGGCTGCAATAAACATTCTGGTGCAAATGTCTTTGTTGTAAAATAATTTTTGATCCTTTGGGTATATACCTAGTAGTATATATCCAGTATTGCAGGATCGAATGGCAAGTCTACTTTTAGTTCTTTGAGTGCTCTTCAAACTTCTTTCCAAAAATGTTGCATTAGCTTGCATTCCCACCAGCAGTGTAGAAGCGTTCCCTTCTATCCGTATCCACCCCAACATCTATACTTTGGAGATTTTGTGATGTGGGCTAATCTTACTGGAGTTAGATGATATCTCAAAGTGGTTTTGATTTGCATTTCTCTGATGGTTAAGGATGATGAGCATTTTTTCATGTGTTTGTGGGCCACGCACCTGTCTTCATCAGATAAGTTTCTGTTCAAGTCTCTTGCCCACATAGAAATGGGGTTATTTATTCTTTTCTTATTGATTAGTTTGAGTTCTCTGTAGATTGTAGTTATCAGACCTTTGTTGGAAGCATAACCTGCAAAAATCTCCCATTCTGAGGGTTGTCTTTTTGCTTTACTTACTGTGCCCTTGACAGTGTAAAAGCTTTTTAGTTTGATCAGATCTCAGTAATGTATTTTTTTGTTGTTGTTGTTGCTTCAATTGCTTGGGGGTTCCTCCTCATAAAATATTCACCCAGGCCATTTCTTCTAGTGTTTTCCCTGCACTCTCTTCTAGGATTTTTATAGTTTCATGTCTTAAATTTAAATCTTTCATCCAGTAAGAATCAATTTTTGTTAACTGTAAAAGGTGCGGGTCCAGTTTCAGTCTTCTACAGGTTGCCAGCCAGTTCACTCAGCACCATTTGTTAAATAGGGAGGCTTTTTCCCAGTGAATATTTTTGATAGGCTTGTCAAAGATCAAATGACATAAGTAGCTGGGTTCATCTCTTGGTTCCCTATTCTGTTCCATAAATCTACCACTCTCTTTTTGTGCCAGTACCACGCTGTTTTGATCACTATAGATTTATAGTATAGCCTGAGGTCTGGTAATGTGATACCTCCTGATTTGTTCTTATTTCTGAGTAATGTATTTGCTATTTGAGGTTTTTTCTGATTCCATATAAAACAAAGTACTATTTTTTCAAGTTCTTTAAAGTATGACAATGGCACTTTAATAGGGATTGCATTAAATCTGTACATTGCTTTGGGTAGTGTGGACATTTTAACAATGTTGATTCTTCCCAGCCATGAACATGGTATGTTTTTCCATTTGTTAACATCTTCAGCCATTTCTTTCTGAGTTTCATAGTTCTCTTTATAGAGATCTTTCACATGCTTGAGTAAATTCCCAGATATTTCATCTTCTTTGGCACTATTATAAAAGGACTAGAGTCCTTGACTATATTTTCAGCTTGACTATTGTTGGCATATATAAAAGCTACTGACTTGTAAGTATTGATTTTGTATCCTGAAACACTGCTGTATTCTTTGATCACTTCTAAGAGTTTTGAAGTTGAATCCCTGGAATTTCCAAGGTGTAGGATCGTATCATCAGCAAAGAGTGAGAGTTTGATCTCCTCTGACCCTATTTGGATACCCTTGATTGCCTTCTCTTGCCTGATTGCAATGACTAAGACTTCCATTTTAGGGCAGTGCCTGTGGCTCAGTGAGTAGGGTGCTGGCCCCATATACCCAGGGTGGCAGGTTTAAACCCGGCCCCAGCCAAACTGCAACAAAAAATAGATAGGTGTTTTGGTGGGCACCTGTGGTCCCAGCTACTCAGGAGGCTGAGGCAAGAGAATTGCCTAAGCCAAAGAACTGGAGGTTGCTGTGAGTTGTGACGCCACAGCACTCTAGTGAGGGCAACAAAGGGAGACTGTCTCTAAAACAAACAAACAAAAAAGAAGACTTCCATTACTATGTTGAATAGCAGTGGAGATGGTGGGCATTTTTACCTCATTACTGATCTGAGTAGAAATGTTTTCATATACCATTGGATATGATATTGGCTGTGGGTTTGCTGTAGATAAGCCTCTATCAGTTTAAGAAATGCCTTTTGTGCCT